GATGGTGATACTTTCCCATTGAGTAGCGTTCATTGTCTGTTCTCCTGTCCGTATTTAGCTTAGTCTCGCTTACGGGCGTTTTTCAAAACACCTCTCGCTGTTGAGAGTTCAACGTTATACTCCTTCCTAAGGTTCGCAACAAGTCTTTTGGAGGGGCTGTATTTCCCTTGATCTTTTCCGAATCTCCGACGACGACACTGAGTTCTGCGCCGGGAGTTTACGGCCAAAGGTACTATGCCTCGTCTCAGCAGGCGACAGCTGCTTAGAAGAAGAGGTCAGCGTTTGTGTGGAATCGGTCAGGTGTGGTTGGTGGACTGCTCCTACTACAACGGTCGAAGCGTTCACTATGAGGAAGAGCGGAGCTTTTGGAGCAGGATGTGTGAGCAAGGTTGCGTCAGTAAGAGAGGCCTTGATTCCTCAAAGCAGTCCGGGTCATCAGTAAGCTCAAGAGGGCCTTTCGTGACCAGAAAGCATATTGATAAGTGACAGTTTAAGATCGGCACAGTTCGGTAGGAACCGGCTGCAAAAGTTAGTCATGCCGATAAAACATTGCCGCTGACGCTTAGAGGTTGGTGGAGGAAAATGACGAATGGCTTCTCAGAAGATCGTCCACGTTTGACCATCACCGGACCAAAATAGTCCACCCCAACGCACTTGAAAGGATACCGACCGACTTGTGTTCTATTTAAGGGACACGGGGACATCATCTGCCCCTGATGTTGTCGAAATTTGCGTTTGCAAAGTAAACATCTACCGATGCCACGTCTGACAGAAGCGGTTACTTCTAGAATCCAAAATTGTAGACGGATTGCACCTAGAACTTGGGCTGCCCCATAATGGCCTTTCAACTCATGAAAGTAATGTATGATTAATTCCGCCACGGGATGATTGTATGGGAGGATTGACGGATGTTTTAACGAGTCACAAAAAATTAGGTAGTTCAGGCGAACACCAACGCACATTAGTTCTTCAATAATAGCTGGACATAACTTTATCAGGCCAGTCTTCCTCACGGACTTTCATTTCTGGCAATCTGCTGGTGTAGACTGCAGAATATCCAATTCGTCTGAAAAGTGCTTCCTTTGTATAAGCTTTATCAAGCTAATGCTAGCTTGGCGCATTTCGGATACTCGGATAGAACCCAACATCAGCGTCTCCTGAGGCGCCTTGCCAGTAATGACTCTGAGGTACTGCCCGAAACGCAGGACCCAGACCACAGCCCTTTGTAGCCTTGTCCAACATGAAAAACGCATAACCAACTTGTCTAAACCATCACATTGACTGAATACATGAACTTCGGCTGCGGTCTAGACTCCGACGAGGTGGCGTATTCATTACGCCTAAACCCCCCGAGTGACCTGGAGAGTGCCATTCAGAGAGCCACTCGGTTGTTAGAGCCGAATCCCCCCGTACCTGTTTACTATAGCCCTTCCGGAAGCTCAACCGCCCCTGCCAGCTATCGTCGACCTGGGCAAGGCCCCCACTCAGGTGGTTTCTCTAGGGCAAACAATAACACTACGTTCCAGTCTCGTAAGAGTCTGGGGAATCGCCCGCCACATGCGACGTCAGCACACCGCCCGGATGAAGCCGATTTCGGTACCCTGTCTGTTTCTATATGCTCTTCTACGTCGGCTCATACATTACATTTTGTTACCCTGGTGTACGTTGATAACCGCCCTGTCAGGGCTCTAGTTGATACCGGAGCTACAGTTTCCTTAGTTCCATCTGATGTGCTTACACGTGTTCGCATGGATAGTATTTTTAAACCCAAAAGACTACCTAACCTGCTGACAGCAAAGGGAGATCGGATGGCCACAATCGGTCTAGTTATTTTGCCGTTAGTTTTCCCTACTAGCACTAAAGAACACACATTTGTTTTTAGCCCAAACGTGACGTGGGATATTTTACTAGGCGTCGATTTTCTGGTCCAGTTTAATTGTCATCTAGATACCCGTGAATGTGTCCTTCGTTTCGGATCTGAGTCGACACTCCCCGGCCATACCAACTTGGCATTCCAGGAAGACGAAATCTGCGCTGCGATCGCCGCTGCGGTCGCACTACCACCCACTAACCTAGACAGCATCTTACCGGAACATGCTGATCTTAACAAACAAGACCGCATGGAACTAAAATCCCTGCTGGCAACCTTTGAGGATGTTTTTGCTTGGGACGAACGCTCGTTGGGGCGTTCAAAACTTGTAAGACACACTACCGACGATAAATTCGTCAAGGAGATGTTTGTAGAGCGTCTGCCTGCAGATGGCGTCAAGGAGATGCAGGAGGATTAGATAGCAAAGACTGAACCTGAGGGATAACACTAGCGGGTAGAACCTCCACAAGTTTGTGGTATTTCGCCAACACCTTGGTAACGTTAGCAAAATAAAAGGCTGATTCGATGCCGATGAAATGAAGTTCTGGAGACTGTCGCCAGTATTCGGGCAAGGGAAAACTGAGGCGCCTTGCCAGTAGTGACTCTAAGGTACTGCTTGAAACGCAGGAGCCAGACCACAGGCCTTTGTAGCCTTGTCCAACTTAAAAAACGCATAACCAACTTGTCTGAACCATCACATTGACTGAATACATGAACTTGGGCTGTTGTCCTCTTGAATTCCAAGTCTTGAGGTTGTCCTGCTGGGGGTTGTACAAGCCATTCGCTTTCAGGTTGAACTAAAAAT